TGTCTTACAAATTTAGTATTAAGCAACAGCATATATTTAAGTGATGCTTTTTTCTAGGGGGGCTGTTTAGTTTTATGAGACTTAACGTAATATTAACTTTTGGAAAATTAAGTGATAAAAAATGGTTCTCGCTCTTTTTTTTAATAGGGAGATCAAAACCTGAAAAAACTGGTTCTCTTAAGAACAATCTGAGCATTATGCATGTTTAAACACTCTTATTTAACATTAGCTCGATAGGAATACACTTAGATAAATCTTCCCCATTATTTATAATTGCTAAGACAAATATAAGTTACTAGGTAATTTACTTGAATTATATAGTCTCCTGTGTTTTTACTTGAATTATATAGTCTCCTGAAAATAGTTCAGAGTGAACCATAAAAATGTTTTTCATTTAGTTTCTCATAAAAGCCATTTCTGTATATATGTGACTGATTTCAATTATTTGCTCAACACATTGATTGGTTTCTAAAAATTTTGAAGTCTATTTCAGTATGCCCTATTTTACAAAATTCAGTTTCACAGATAACCAAATCTGTACATTATTATAAAATTAAGCTTATCGGCCAGGTGCAGTGGCTCACGCCATGTAATCCCAGCACTTTGGGAGGCCAAGGCCAGTGTACCATGAGGTCAGGAGATTGAGACCATCCTGGACAATGTAGTGAAACCCCATCTCTACTAAAAATACAAAAATTAGCTGGGGGGCACATGCCTGTAATCCCAACTACTTGGGTGGCTGAGGCAGGAGAATCCCTTGAACCAGGGAGTCGGAGGTTGCATTGAGTCGAGATCACGCCACTGCAATCCAGCCTGGTGACAGAGTGAGACTCTGTCTCAAAAAAAGATTATGTATAGTATAGATACAATTTTTTTGGCTGTTCAGAGAGACTTTTTGTTTCTTCAGCAAGAATTCTAATTACAGTGAAAAGTTTTAAGGTTATATACGCTATTAATTTGACAAATAGAATAGTATTAGTAAACTCCTTTTTCTTATGTGGTTTCTTAGGGAACAAGTTCGATTTAATGGCTTTGGGATTTTTCTCTTCATTATTTATCCTGGAGCATTTGTTGATTTGTTCACCACTCATTTGCAACTTATATCGCCAGTCCAGCAGCTAAGGATATTTTGTGCAGGTAACAGACTTAATTTTGTTTTAATATTCATCTGTGGTTTTGGTTTTGATTTTCTATGGCTAGATTTTTGGAAAATATATCACAAATAGCAATATCTTATCTTTTGGTTAATAACTTCAGTTTATAAGGCCCCCTCAAAAGTAGAAGGGTAAAATAATTTACATTCCAGTTTCTTCCATAAAACCAACTAAAAACAACATAAATTATTTCTTTTAAAATTTAAAAACAGAGGAAAACTTTGTTTTCTCCACAATATGAAATCACAAACTATAAAGAATGTCAACTCAGCTGAAATCAGAACGAAATTTGCATCAAATCAAGGGAGAACGTGAAGAATTAACTAACAGATAAATCAAAAGTATCCAGGAATGGAGAAGAAGGGTTATGAAAGGATGGTTAGTGAACTCTGGCACTGTCAAAGTTCAGTCAGAGAAACAGAATCCCTTGGAGATATATAACTATGTAGGGAAGAAATCCTGGGAACTATAGTTCCATCTTAGTGAAATTGACATAAGACAAATCCATCACACCCCTCTATCACTTTTAATGGAATAACTGAGGCTTAAGCAAGTGTGGAGTTAGAATTCTCAAACTAATAAATAAAAATTGAAGGTGGAAAAAACAAAAACAGGAAATAGAAATACTAATTTCCTCAACTTCTTAGTGGAGAGAACATCTGCCTGAATTTGATAAATCAAGAAATAGAGTCTTGAGTATATCACTTAAGATTATAAATGTAAATACTATAAGATCTAAAAACACAAACTTTTCAGTTATCACAGTGAAAGCATGAAACACACACCAAAGAAAACAGACACTATATCAAAATATAAACCATGGTAATGAATTTAAGACCAAAGCACATTTATTTTTCAATAAACATAAATGAAATAAGCTCACCTGCTGAATGAAAGATGCCCTTAGTTTGGATTTAAAACATGTCCCAAATGTGTGATGTACAAAAGAAATCCGTCTAAATAATTACTCAAAAATATGTAAAGTAAAATGATGAGCAGATCATAACATGCAAATGGGAACAGAAAATAAGATAAAAAGCATTATGTTAGACATTAGGGGCCATTTAACAATAATAAGGAATATAAGCCACAATGAAAACATAACAGTTGTGAATCTTACCATATCACGTAATGAATCATCAAAGCAAAACAAAAAAGGGAAAAGTACAAGAAGAAACAGAAAGGTAATTTTAAAAACTCATCTTTTTTTTTTTTTTTTTTTTTTTTTTAATGAGACGGAGTTTCGCTCTTGTTACCCAGGCTGGAGTGCAATGGCGCGATCTCGGCTCACCGCAACCTCCGCCTCCTGGGTTCAGGCAATTCTCCTGCCTCAGCCTCCTGAGTAGCTGGGATTACAGGCACGCGCCACCATGCCCAGCTAATTTTTTGTATTTTTAGTAGAGACGGGGTTTCACCATGTTGACCAGGATGGTCTCGATCTCTCGACCTCGTGATCCACCCGCCTCGGCCTCCCAAAGTACTGGGATTACAGGCTTGAGCCACCGCGCCCGGCTTAAAAACTCATCTTTTTGCATATGGCAGATAAGTATAAAAAGGTCAGGCTAAGGCAAAAATAGGTATGTTAAACTCTATGCCATGAACACAGAAGACAATATCTTTTCAAGTGTCCATGGGACTTAAAAGAAAGCTTCAGTAAATTCCCAAGAGAAGACTAGCAGCCTAAGTAAAAACTACCTGAAATTTTGAAATTTATATTAATCACACCTTGGATTAATTTAATTCAAACCTGTTATTTCAGTGTATCTAAAAATGATGATGATGAAATCATTGTACTGTGATAATGTTTAAAGTATTGCTAAAAGAAAAATGCACTGACTTAGGCAGTCATGCTATTAGAAATGGAAATAGATCAGTTAAGTATTCAACTTAAGTGAGAAAAGAACTGTAAAATAATTAAGAAATGATGATGTAATTAGTAAGGATATAGGCAGAAATAATAAATTAGAAAAAACAAAACGATCTGTTAAATCGAAGAGTTCTTTAAAAAAAGGTTAGTTCAACAATAAGAAAAAGCATCTAAAGACAATTAGCTATCAGACTGGGGAATGATGATTGATAACAGAGAAAATAAAAACAATTATAAGTGTTCTTTACTCATCTCTGCAAAAAAGTTTCAAAAACCTGGATAAATCTAAGAAAATAAAAATAGCTGAAATTAACCCGAGAGGCAATCAAAAAAATCTAAATAGACAAATAATTACAACAGGAGAAATTAAGAAAATTGATGAAGAATGCCCTTTCTTTTTATTTTGAGACTGAGTCTCACTGTGTCACCCAGTCTGGAGTGCTGTGATCTTGGCTCACTGCAACCTCCGCCTTCTGGGTTCAAGCGATTGATTCTCTTGCCTCAGCCTCCCTAGTAGCTAGGATTACAGGCACTTGCCACCATGCCTGCTAATTTTTGTATTTTTAGTAGAGACAGGGTTTTGCTACGTTGGCCAGACTGGTCTCAAACTCCTGTCCTCAAATGATCCTCCTGCCTCGGCCTCCCAAAGTGCTGGGATTACAGGCATGGGATTACTGCACCCAGCTAAGAATGCCCTTTCCTATGTGGAATTCTTTCATACCTTGAATGAAAAACTATTCTTTTAATTCCAATTTAGTATAAACTTTAAAGATCACGTAGAGAAGAAAACTAAGATTTTTTTCTTAAAGCCAAGTGCAACACTGATACAACATCTGGTGAATACGACATCTGGTGAAGCACAAAACAACCTACAGATACATGACCTATCAGGAATACAAGAGTGGTTGAACATTAGGAAATCAGTTTGAATGTGATAAATATTATTTGCCATTAGGCAAAAATTCATCTCAGAAGATATTGAGACAGTATTTAACAAAATACAAAATTCAACATCCATTAATACTTTTAAAAAATCCTTAGTAAAAGTAGGAATAGCTGCATAATAATGGCATAACACTTAGCATTCCTATTAAAGGACAAGACAAGCAATTTTGCTATCTATTATTACTGATATTAAATGTCATGTTAGTACAATTAAATAAGAAAAAAAGCATAGGAGTCGGCTTTTTTGGCAGATACTGTTATATGGGATGGAAAGGAGGGGAAGACATGAAAATCAACTGAAATGAAATATATTAAAAAAATCAAGGGCTGGGCGCGGTGGCTCACGCCTATAATCACAGCACTTTGGGAGGCCGAGGCAGGTGGATCACGCGGTCGAGAGATCGAGACCATCCTGGTTAACATAGTGAAACCCCGTCTCTACTAAAAATACAAAAAATTAGCTGGGCATGGTGACGTGGTGGCGCGTGCCTGTAATCCCAGCTACTCAGGAGGCTGAGGCAGGAGAATTGCTTGAACCCAGGAGGCGGAGGTTGCAGTGAGCCAAGATCGCGCCATTGCACTCCAGCCTGGGTAAGAAGAGCGAAACTCCGTCTCAAAAAAAAAAAAAAAAAAAAAAAAAAAATCAATAAAGAGCCTGCTTACGAAATATTTTAACAATAGCTGGACGGGGCCGCGGGGTGGCGCAGGAGTTGGGCATGTACGTTGAGTACGTGGGCACGTGCACGTGCTTGCGGGGCAGCGCGCCAGATGCACAGGCGCGTGCGCGTGGCTATCCCAGAAGCACCTGGGCCTTCCGCCACAACTGCTCGCTCGAGCCTTCCTCAGATTGGCGCATTCGTCAGACTCGCGCCTTTTTCTCAGACTCGCGCCTTTCTCGGCAGCTCGCGCCGCTTTCGCGACAGCTCGCGCCGCTTTTCTCAGCAGCTGGCACGTCCTCGGCAGTTCGCACCGCCGTTCTCGGCAGTTTGCGCCTCGCTCCCTTCAGCGTTCTTTTTCCCACGGTCTTCCAGTTGCCTATAAACTGCGGAGGAGCCAGTAGCTAAGACTGCTACCTAACTAACTCTCAACCATGGCCTCAAACGAAGATTTCTACACCACCGAAGACCCGGGGATCCCGGTAGATCTGAAAGACATCAATGTGGAGCCCCTTCCTATGGAGGACATTCCGATTGAAAGCATTCAGTACGAGGATTTCGCTGGCAATTGGGTCCACGGTGGCCACAACAACCCGCCTCTGCTCACGGTGCAGCCGCTCTTCGGGAACCTGGGCTATGGCGACCACGACCAGGAAATGATCCTGGTGCAGACACAAGAGGAAGTGGTGAACTACTGCACTTCAGGCAGTGTGCCAGGCAATGATTCCGAGGACCAGTCGGTCGTTCCGGATAGCAGTGAAGATGAACACTTCCAGCAGACCCTGGCCTCTCTGGCAGCCTCGGCGGCATCGACATCAACCCAAAGCCGCAGCAGAAAGCGCAGCAGAAAGCCCAGCCAAAAGGCCAGCGACAGTGGTGCCACCAGCACTGAGGCCAAGCCGGCATGCAGCAGCCCCAACGAAGGCAGTGAGAAGTGGGATCCGAAGCAAGTGCAGATCAAAACGCCCAGGGGTGAGTTTTCCGTGACTATGCGGTCCCCTAGTGATAACAATGACAAAGGGACAGTGGGTGAAGGCCGGGCTGATAACTCACCCGATTATTCCGAGTACATGACAGGGAAGAAACTTCCTCCTGAAGGATTACCAGGAATCGATCTCTCAGATCCCAAACAGCTGGCGGAATTTACTAAAATGAAGCCCAAAAGGTCCAAAGAAGAACCTCCCAGAACAGTCCCTTGCGCTCATAATGGCTGCGGAAAGATGTTCAGGGATTACGCCGCCATGAGAAAACATCTCCACGTCCACGGGCCCAAAGTCCACGTATGTGCAGAATGCGGCAAAAGTTTTATTGAGAGCTCAAAGCTGAAACGACATCAGCTGGTTCACACGGGCGAGAAACCCTTTCAGTGCACATTCGAAGGTTGCGGGAAACGCTTTTCCCTTGATTTCAATTTGCGCACACATGTGCGCATCCACACCGGCGACAAGCCCTTCGTGTGCCCTTTCGATATTTGCAATAGGAGATTCGCCCAGTCAACCAACCTGAAAACGCATATGTTAACGCATGTGAAGAACAAAAACAGCCAGTGAAAAGGAGACCTCTCTCAGACTTGGGAATCATCTTCCAGGCTTCCAGGACTGTGGTAGGGAATAAATATGCCTCTCAAAGCTTTATATGTTTTTCTAAGAGTTTTAAACGATGAATGCTACACATCTAAGGTTTGGGTTTTCTTAGAGTAGTAAAATGCAATTTAAAAGTTTTTTAAAAAGTAAACCTTGACATAAGATAATATTGCTGAGATGTGGTAGCTTGTTCTGTAACAACGTTTTTGTAAAGTTTGGTCCCAACAGGAGAAAAATTTGTGGACTTCACATCAAGAGACAATGCTTACAAACTGCATTTAAAATGGGACTTTTCACATTCTTAGAAATAGGAAGTTCATTTATTGTTTACAATGTTTTAAAAAAATTTTTTTTAATTTAAAATGTTCATGTTTATACTTTAAGGAATATGCTTAATGAGTCTGGTTTTTCTGGAGGTTGATAACTTTGGGAAAGATTTACATTAAAGGAGTGAACAATTATATGCATACACGAAATATTTTCCTGCTTAAAAAAGTTATATGGGTGTTGCTGGTTTTAATTTTGGATGTATTCTTGGATGTTACCATATTTTGCATTTTAGCTGTATTGAGTTATGTAGTATTGATATTAGGGGATTTAGTAGTATTACTTTAAACCTATTTTAGTCATTTTATTTTCCCCCAATAGTACCAGATGTTGTTGTTTAGCGTAATTTCTTTGCCTGTTCGATTAAAGTAGTGCCCAGTTGTAGAATATATTGTTTGTATCTTGACTTTAACACTTAAGAAGTATATCCTGTGTAATAGAGCAAAATAAAATACCTCTTCTAAAGGAAAAAAGTAGTTTGCCTATATCGATATAGAAGCTACAACTAAAGAAAAGGGGGAGGGTGCTACCGGTGGGTGGAGGGAGATCAGGAATTGCACTCAACATCCTATAATGCACAGACAGCCCCACAAAATAAATGATAATTTGGCCAAAATGCCAATAGTGTCGGGTGCAGGGGCTCACGCCTGTAATCTCAGCACTTTGGGAGGCTGAGGCAGGTGGATCGCTCAAGCTCAGGAGTTGGATATAAGCCTGGGCAACATGGCAAAACCCCATCTTTACCAAAAATACAAAAACTAGCTGGGTGTGGGGTGCACACCTATGGTCTTAGCTACTCAGGAATCTGAGGTGGGAGGATCACTGGAGCTGGGCAAGTCGAGACTGCAGTGAGCGGTAATTGAGCCACTGTACTCCAGCCTGGGTGACAGAGCAAGACCTTGTCTCAAAAAAAAAAAAAAAGAAAAGAAAAAAAACCGCCTCGCCGGGCACGGTGGCTCACGCCTGTAATCCAAGCACTTTGGAGGCCAAGGTGGGCAGATCACCTGAGGTCGGGAGTTCAAGACCAGCCTGACCAACATGGTGAAACCCCATCTTTAAAACAAACAAACAAACAAAAAAACGGCGCAAAGCAGCCACGCGGGCCAAAACAGCCGTGGAGGGAAAAGGGGCGGGGGGATGTCGGCCACAGGGCTCCTGCCTGTAATCCCAGCACTGAGAGGCTGATGTGGGTGGATCACTTGAGGTCAGGCATTCAAGACCAGCCTGTCCAACATAGTGAAACCACTCCCTACTACTAAAAATTAGCCAGAGATGGTGGCACAACGCCTGTATTCCCAGCTACTTGGGAGGCTGAGGCAGGAGAATCACTTAAACCTGGGAGGTGGAGGTTGCAGTGAGCTAAGATAATGCCACTGTACACCAGCCTGGGTGACAGAGTGAGACTCCATCTCAAAAAAAAAAAAAAAGCCAACAGTGTCCCTGTTAAGAAGCCCTGCTGTAAAAAAAGTACAAGTTTTTAACAAAGATTCCAGAGGTATGCAGTACTTATAAACAAATCATTAATGGACAAGAGGTTGTTTAGATGAAGGAAATGTGTGTGCTCCACCACCCTCATTTCCACTTAACCAGCATGGATAAATCCAGAATCAGAGGGGTGATCTGGTACTAGCTACATGCCTGACAAGAGGTAAGAGACTATGCAGGGAGTCAAGAAATCAGTGCTGTTGAGTGTCTCAGCTTTTATTCATTTGTTCATGTCTTGTTTCTGTGGCTAGCAACTGGGCTGGGGTTGGGTGGGGTGGGGGGAATTCATACTGGTATCCTAAATAAGTTTCCCCAGAGTAAATTCCTGTGCATCAAAGGATTAGGTTTTTTGTTTCTTTTAATTTTGTTAACAAAGCTATGAAAGCAGTGCAAGAAAGCTCTGTTGCCAGGCTGGACAGGCTGGAGTATAGTGGCACAATCTGGGCTCACTGCAACCTCCGCCTCCTGGATTCAAGCAATTTCCCTGCCTCAGCCTCCTGAGTAGCTGGAAGTACAGGCACACGCCCCCACACCCAGCTAATTTTTTGTATTTTAGTAGAGATGAGGTTTCGCCATGTTGGCCAGGATGGTCTCAATCTTCTGACCTCGTGATCCGCCTGCCTTGGCCTCCCAAAGTGCTTGGGATTACAGGTGTGAGCTACTGTGCCGAGCCAAATACCTTCTATAATCTTTAAGTAGGAAAGGCTTAATACAAGGAAATATTTGATCACACAAAAATTTGAAGTATCTATACAAGCAAAATGATGAACCACACCAAACAACAAACTGGAAGGATATAATTATAATACTTGTTACAAAGGACCAAATTCCTCAATAAATAGATTATAAATAATACCATATACAAATTAGTAAATAAGACAAAAAATAAGCAAAGATGTAAACAGGCAATGGAGAGGAATAAGTAGCTCTCAAGAAAATGAGCTTTCATTTTTCACCTAGAAGACTGGCAAAGAGTAAAATTGTAATAATATCCAGTGTCCTTCAGAGAGTAGGAAAATGTTAATTATGAAAGTATAAATTAATGCAAACTCATTGGAGATCAACTTTAACGTACATATTTTTGACCCAACATTTCTATTTCTAGGTAATTTTTCATATACTTGAGATGCATACTTAACTAGATGCCTAACAATGTAAGCAAAGCTGTATATTGCAGTATTATATGAAAAGGTTAAAACAACCTAAGTAATTAATAGTAAGAAACCTTATAAATAAATTGATACTTTAATAAAAATTGATTACTCTGTAGCAGTTATAATGGCATTGATATGAATAAACTGATATGAAAAAGGTCCAAAATATATAAATTAAAAAGCAAAATAGGGTGTGATGGCTCACACCTGTAATCCCCCAACTTTTTTTTTAAAAGAAAAAAAAGGAATGAAAGAGAGAAAGAGAAAGAGGGAGAGAGAATGGGAGGGGGTCTTGCTTTATTGCCCAGGCTAGAATGCAGTCTAAAAATGGGTATTGAAAACCTCTTTTATGCCAATAATTGTGCTTAACAATGGAGACAGGAAGGAATAAGGGAGGAAAATAACAAACAAGCAGCCAACCAATATTTCATTTAAACCTGTGAAATGCTATGTAATTACTGAGTAGTGATTTACTTCCAATTATGTAGTCACTTTTAGAGTAGGTGTGATGTGGTACTGATAAGAATGTATGTTTTGTGATTTTGGGGTGGAGAGTTCTATAAATGTTTATTAAGTTTACTTGTTCCGGGTCTGAGTTCATTCAAGTCCTGGATATCCTTGTTAATTTTCTGTCTCGTTGATCTGTCTAATATCGACAATATGATGTTAAAGCCTCCCACTATTATTGTGTGGGAGTCTAAGTCTCTTTGTAAGTCATTAAGAACTTGCCTTATGTATCTGGGTGCTCCTGTATTGGGTGCGTATATATTTAGGATCATTAGCTCTTCTTGTTGCATTGATCCTTTTGCCATTATGTAATGTCCTTCTTTGCCTCTTCTGGTCTTTGTTGCTTTAAAGTCTATTTTATCGGAGGTGAGAATTGCAACTCCTGCTTTTTATTTATTTATTTATTTATTTATTTGCTCTCCATTTGGTTGGTAAATCTTCCTCCATCCCTTTGTTTTGAGTCTTTGTGTATCCTTGCATGTGAGATGGGTCTGGATATAGCATACTGATGGGTTTTGGCTTTTTATCCAATTTGCCTGTCTGTGTCTTTTAAGTGGGGCATTTAGTCTATTTAAATTTAGGATTAATAATAATATATGTGAGTTTAATACTGCCATTTGATGCTAGCTGGCTGTTTTGCCCATTAGTTGATATAGATTCTTCATTATGTTGATGCTCTTTACCTTTTGGTATATTTTTGGAATGGCTGATACTGGTTGTTCCTTTCTATGTGTAGTGCTTCTTTCAGAAGCTCTTGTAAAGCAGGCCTGGTGTTGATGAAATCTCTGAGTACTTGCTTGTTCACAAAAGATTTTATTTTTCCTTCACTTATGAAGCTTAGTTTGACTGGATATGAAATTCTGGGCTGAAAGTTCTTTTCTTCAAGGATGTTGAATATTGGCCCCCACTCTCTTCTGGCTTGTAGGGTTTCTGCTGAAAGATTTGCTGTGAGTCTGATAGGCTTCCCTTTGTGGATAACCTGACCTTTCTCTCTGGCTGCCCTTAGCATTTTCTCCTTCATTTCAACCCTGGTGAATCTGACGATTATATGCCTCAGGATTGCTCTTCTTGAGGAATATCTTTGTGGTGTTCTCTATATTACCTGGAGTTGAATATTGTCCTGCCTTGCTAGGTTGGGAAAGTTTTCCTGAATAATATCCTGAAGAATATTTTCCAGCTTGGATTCATTCTCTTCGTCACATTCAGGTACACCTATCAAACGTAGATTAGGTCTTTTCACATAGTCCCATATTTCTTGGAGACTTTGCTCATTCCTTTTTACCCTTTTTTCTCTAATCTTGTCTTCTCGTTTTATTTCATTGAGTTGGTCTTTGACCTCTGATATCCTTTCTTCTGCCTGATCAATTCGACTGTTAAAACTTGTGCATACTTCGTGAAGTTCTCGTATTGTGTTTTTCAGCTCCATTAATTCACTTATATTCCTCTCTAAATTGTCTATTCTCATTAGCATTTTGTCAAACCTTTTTTCAAGGTTCTTAGTTTCTTTGCACTGGGTTAGAACATGTTCTTTCAGCTCACAGAAGTTTCTTATTATCCACCTTCTGAAGACTGATTCTGAAAATTCATCACACTCATTCTCCATCAGGCCTTGTTCCCTTGCTGATGAAGAGCTGCGATCCCCTGAAGGAGAGGCATTCTGATTTCGGATGTTTTCAGCCTTTTTGCACTGGTTTCTTCCCATCTTTGTGGATTTATCCACCTGTCATCTTTGTAATTGCTGACTTTCAGATTGGGTCTCTGAGTGGCTGTCCAGCTTGTTGGTGGTGATGTTATTTCTGTTTCTTTGTTTTCCTTTGGCGGATGCCCCTCCCCCTCAGAGCTGGACCTTCCTGGGCTCAGCTGTGCTTGCAGTGAAACTCAACCGTCAGCGTTTCCAATTGCTGCTTTTTTTGTGGGGGTGGGACCAGCTGAGCCCGATCACCTGGCTCCCCGCCTTGGAGCCCCCTTTTTTTCTTTTCCTAATTGAACAGTCGGTCCTCTCCCAGGTGCCCCACTTGCCCATCGAAAAGGTGCTGGGATCTATGCAATTTCGCATGCAGCGACTGCGCTGGCGGCACTGAGATTTGTGGCACTTTTCTGCCCAGGAATCTCCCTGTCTAGCTCCCGCCTTCAGTCCCCTTTTCAGTCAGCTGAATGGGCAACTCTGCCTTCCCAAAGCTCCAAATGCCAACCAAAAGGGCACCCAGTCTCGCACACTCCTCACTGAGAACCGCTGTGCCGGGACACCAGCAAAACAGCCGCGCCGGCCAAAAGAGTCACACTGGTGACCCGTGGGGCTCCTCTGCTGGGAATCTCCCGGTCCATAGGCAACGAAAATTCGTCTGAAGTCTGGTGTCCAGTCACTCCCTGCACCTTCACTCGGAGCTGCAATCCTGAGCTGCTGCTAGTTGGCCATCTTGGATCTCTCTCCTGTAATCCCAAAATTTTAGGAGACTGAGGTGGGAGTTTGAGGCTGCCATGAACTGTGATTGCAGCACTGCACTCCAACCTGGGCAACAGAGCGAGACTGTCTCTTTTTTAAAAATCCATGAAAAAGCAAAATATAGTATAATAATTTGATGCCATTGGTGTT